GAATAAAAATAGCTAATAGGCTATTTTTGTACAACCTACATTTTTATTTATTTTTTCTCTCTGCGACACTTTTTCCCTATTGTGTTGTCAATGTTAAACGAATTGTATCCTGGCAAGACGAATAAAAATAAGAAATAGAATTTTTGTAAATTTTTATTTTCTCTGACACTTTTTCTTCCTACTGTGTTGCATAAAATATTAAACAAATTTTCTGTGTTAAGATAATTCATATAAATTCAAGTCAAAATCAATAAATTCAAGACTCTTGACAAGACGAATAAAATAACATACAATTTTGTGCAGACTACTCTTTTATTTGTCAGCCTATCTCTCTTTCTTTCAGTAGCGGAAATTTAAATGTGAGATTCTGGAAACGAGATCTAAATTTAGCAGGAACGGTCGGGTCGGGAAGAAAATTATTCTAAGCGGACAGCGGGTGAACAAAGAGTGAATATATAGCGGGAGCGGGTGGGTGCAGAATAGAACTAAAAAAAACAGTCCCGCGCAGACCTCTACCACAGAACGCCATTAACAGTTTTACATTAAATTACATTAAATTTGTCCCAAATCATTGTTAATGTACATAAAGACTTCACCCTGGGCTGGAAGAACTGTGTATTGTGCATTTTTTCAGTGAAACGTTTGTATTTCTGTGGCTATATAGTGTGTATGTTTCATATAGAGAGCTATAATATAGATCATGCTTTCTATTTTTGTCTGCTCTGTTGTTTTAAACGCTGAGCTTCAAACTCATCTATGCCGCTTTTTGATCATTCTTTAAGTGAACATTTGCCCGTTTGGTGATTAAATAAACTGTTTTAGACTGCTGAACTGAACACGATGTGTCCGGTGTGTGTGATACCTGATACCTGCGAGTTCTAGATGCGGCGCTGCGCTTTTTGCCTGGTGTGCGACTGCCATATTTTGTTATTTTGAAAGGATAATAATCAAGTGTTCTAGAATAGAAGCAGTTAAAGGGTGAGAGTATAAACATACAATATCCATATTGCCACAAATCCGGTTCATGAGCTTTCAACTGCTTGCCACCAGAGGCCGCCTTCCGATTACATAGACATTCACACCATACATTTCCCATGCTCCATTGCACTGATTGGACTCACCTGCAGCTAATCACACACACTATATGACAACCACTCAAATCCTTCTCACTTCGCCAAGTATTGTTTGCACTTATCAGCCAGTTCCTGGTCCTAGTTTCTAGTTCATAGTTCTAGTCTTAGTCTAAGTCTAGTCACGTCTTGATTCCTGATTACCTGTTTCCTGATTATTAGCCTGTCTTGGATCATCCCTTTGTCTTGCTGTTTTGGACTATGTTTGCACTTCGCCTGGACTATTGCTCGTGTTTCTGGATTACCCCTATTGTCAAGCCCTCTGGATAATGTTCACCGATCGAATACCCACCCTTGCCCTAGGATACTCTTGTCTTTCCTGTGTTGTACCTTTGTTGTTTTCTGACCATCGTCTGTTTCATGACCACGCCTTTAAATAAAAGCCCTGCATATGGATCCACACGCCTCTCGTCTTGTCGGTGCCGTAACAGAATACTCGGCCACACAAGGATCCAGCAGCTTTTCGAATGAACATTGGCCAGGTATGGAAATTGCAAGACTGTTATTAGCCCTCGAGCAGGGCACGCGCTCGAGGACTATATTCTAGTTTTTTTGTTTTTTAGTTTTCATACAGTATCCATTTTAAAAACGATCGGTTGATTAATTGGTATCAGCCAGTGTGGTCCAACCTAGCTATCGGTATCAGTAAAATCCACTATCGGTCGACCTCTAATCTGTAGATGATCTGACTGTGTGTGTCTGTAGATGATCTGACTGTGTGTGGCTGTAGTTGATCTGTGTGTGGCTGTAGTTGATCTGTGTGTGGCTGTAGTTGATCTGTGTGTTTGTAGATGATCTGACTGTGTGTGTGTCTGTAGGTTGTCTGGCTGTATGGTGACAGAGAAAGGCTGTGGCTATTTGTCTTCAGTTCTGAGTTCAAACCCTTCACACCTGAGAGAGCTGGATCTGAGCTACAATCACCCAGGACAATCAGGAGTCCAGCTGCTCAAACACAAACTGCAGGATCCAAACTATAAACTGCAGATACTCAAGTATGTCAAACACTAATACTGACATACTGAACGTGTGTGTGTGTGTGTGTGTGAGAATGATGCAGATCTACATTAATGTGTGTTTATAGTGTGGATCGTGGAGGAAAGAAGATGATGACAGCAGGACCACGAAAATGTAGGTCCAGAAACACAGACACACACACACACACACACACACACAGAGATTGTTGTTTGACTGTATCACTGAGCTCATTTCATAGACCAGGGGTGTCAAATTCAATTCCTGGAGGGCCGGAGCCATGCAGAGTTTTGTTCCAACCCTGCTCCAACACGCAGACCATGTAGTTTTCAAATAAGCATCAAGAATTCAGATTCAGATTCATTCTTTATTGTCCTCCGAAGAGGAAATTTGTTTTCACAGACTGTACCAGGAACTATAATACATATAATGCACATGTTTTCCACCAAATACAAAAATACACACATTTACACCAGAAACAATAACAGTGCACATGATACACGTGTCCTGCACCTAATATACATTTACACACTTACACGTATATTGCCCGGAGATGGAAGCAGCAACAGAACAGTATAGCTTTTAAATTACACACTCCACGGTTTCTGTGAATTTAACGCTCTAATGTCCGAGGGTACAAACCTTTTCCCAAAGCGTGCTTTTTTTGAGGTAGCTGTCTGTATCTGCGACCTGAAGGGAGAAGGATGAAACATGAGTTGAGAGGATGGCTAGAGTTTTTTATTATAGTATTTGCTCTGCGAATAATGGCAGTATCAGCAAGAGCTGACAAATTAGCAATAAAAAAGCAATTATTTTTGAGGAGGTATTGGGGATTTTAAAGAGCTTATTTCTGTTAGTGCAAGAGAGCATGGTAAAATAGCAAGTGACACAGTACAGAATAATGGATTCAATGATACTGCGATACAGAAGTTTACGTATGACCAGAAGTCTTTGTTGGCAAGGTCATCTTCTATACCCTAAACAAACATCACAGAACCCTGTGCAAAACACTAGATTTAAAGAGAAACATGATTTTTCCAGTTTATGAGTGCCGGTCACCAGCAGGGGCTCCTTTGCTCTCAGAGATGATTTCAGTAGCGTATCACTGCATACTGGAAACAGAACAGTAATATGTGGATTCAGCTTTAGATTCATGTGGAAATATCTTTCTTTTAATAGTTTAGGATTTTATATTTATTTTGGTAATGGCATGGTAATGACATGTTTTGTCACATGACTATTAATTCAGATCCATTTGAAAATGTAATTTTCATTTCTAAACGCTCTCTGTCCACACTAGAGTCTTCAAGTGTTTTCCAAAAGCTTCTCATCCATACTGAAACATCAGAAACATTAAATTCACCTTACTGTACATGTGTGAAACATAATAAAAGCTAACTGAAATGATACAGATGAACAGACATAATAAAGTTTTCACTCTATTCTTCTGGCAGGATAATTTTATTTAGTGAAATATCTCACATTCACTTATGCGTCCCGGTCACACTCAATCACCATTATATGTTTGGTCTTAAACGCAGCTACGCTCCTGTTTTGCAGGACTGTGAAATGAAGAGTGAACAAAGTAACATATCTTTAGCAACAGTGTGAAAGTGAACAGCACATAACAGATACAATACCGGTATAAACAGTTATCTATAGTACACCTCACAAGACTAAACATGTGTCAGTGTTGTCAGATACTTGAAAAAGTGCTCTGTTATATTCCCAATGTGGTCCTGTTTGGTGTATGTGTATATATATATATTAGTGCTGTCAATCGATTAAAAATTAACTAATTAATCGCACATTTTTCTGAAAGTAATCGTGATTAATCCCACCTAACATTAAAGTTTTTAAATATACTTTTATATTGCAATAATTTCACATTCAATCTTCAAATTAATGTACAAACAACAAATATTTGTTTAATGGCATATTTTCTTATGACTGAAGGCCAGTATCAATGATACCAATACTGTCACGGACTGTAAGACGCGAAGACTCAAATGCAGGCAGATGGGGGTCTTTATTCACAATAAACAAACACAAACACAACTCAAACCACCCCGAAGGGGAAAAAACCAGAATAACATAAGTGCTCACCACACATAACCTGAGCACAGGGCAGCCACAAATACAAGGCATGTACTGCTGCCGATGTGAGACAAACGAGCCCAGAACAGAAAACACAGGGAGCTTATAAGGGAGAGGCAATCAGGTAAACAGTGGAGCTGCCGCCTTGAAAAAACCGGAGGCGAGTTCCACCGCCTCGGGGGAACTGTGAGCAGACGCCGCCGCCTCGGGGGAACTGTGAGCGGGCATCGCCGTCTCAGGAGGATCGTGAGCGGACACCGCCGCCTCGGGGGAACTGCGAGCAGACACCGCCACTTCTGGAGCCTCGTGAGTGGGCACCGCCGCCTCGGGAGGATCGTGAGCGGGCACCGCCGCCTCGAGAACATCGTGAGCGGGCACCGCCGCCTCGAGAACATCGTGAGCGGGCACCGCCGCCTCGAGAACATCGTGAGCGGGCACCGCCGCCTCGAGAACATCGTGAGCGGGCACCGCCGCCTCGAGAACATCGTGAGCGGGCACCGCCGCCTCGAGAACATCGTGAGCGGGCACCGCCGCCTCGAGAACATCGTGAGCGGGCACCGCCGCCTCGAGAACATCGTGAGCGGGCACCGCCGCCTCGAGAACATCGTGAGCGGGCACCGCCGCCTCGAGAACATCGTGAGCGGGCACCGCCGCCTCGAGAACATCGTGAGCGGGCACCGCCGCCTCGAGAACATCGTGAGCGGGCACCGCCGCCTCGAGAACATCGTGAGCGGGCACCGCCGCCTCGAGAACATCGTGAGCGGGCACCGCCGCCTCGAGAACATCGTGAGCGGGCACCGCCGCCTCGAGAACATCGTGAGCGGGCACCGCCGCCTCGAGAACATCGTGAGCGGGCACCGCCGCCTCGAGAACATCGTGAGCGGGCACCGCCGCCTCGAGAACATCGTGAGCGGGCACCGCCGCCTCGAGAACATCGTGAGCGGGCACCGCCGCCTCGAGAACATCGTGAGCGGGCACCGCCGCCTCGAGAACATCGTGAGCGGGCACCGCCGCCTCGAGAACATCGTGAGCGGGCACCGCCGCCTCGAGAACATCGTGAGCGGGCACCGCCGCCTCGAGAACATCGTGAGCGGGCACCGCCGCCTCGAGAACATCGTGAGCGGGCACCGCCGCCTCGAGAACATCGTGAGCGGGCACCGCCGCCTCGAGAACATCGTGAGCGGGCACCGCCGCCTCGAGAACATCGTGAGCGGGCACCGCCGCCTCGAGAACATCGTGAGCGGGCACCGCCGCCTCGAGAACATCGTGAGCGGGCACCGCCGCCTCGAGAACATCGTGAGCGGGCACCGCCGCCTCGAGAACATCGTGAGCGGGCACCGCCGCCTCGAGAACATCGTGAGCGGGCACCGCCGCCTCGAGAACATCGTGAGCGGGCACCGCCGCCTCGAGAACATCGTGAGCGGGCACCGCCGCCTCGAGAACATCGTGAGCGGGCACCGCCGCCTCGAGAACATCGTGAGCGGGCACCGCCGCCTCGAGAACATCGTGAGCGGGCACCGCCGCCTCGAGAACATCGTGAGCGGGCACCGCCGCCTCGAGAACATCGTGAGCGGGCACCGCCGCCTCGAGAACATCGTGAGCGGGCACCGCCGCCTCGAGAACATCGTGAGCGGGCACCGCCGCCTCGAGAACATCGTGAGCGGGCACCGCCGCCTCGAGAACATCGTGAGCGGGCACCGCCGCCTCGAGAACATCGTGAGCGGGCACCGCCGCCTCGAGAACATCGTGAGCGGGCACCGCCGCCTCGAGAACATCGTGAGCGGGCACCGCCGCCTCGAGAACATCGTGAGCGGGCACCGCCGCCTCGAGAACATCGTGAGCGGGCACCGCCGCCTCGAGAACATCGTGAGCGGGCACCGCCGCCTCGAGAACATCGTGAGCGGGCACCGCCGCCTCGAGAACATCGTGAGCGGGCACCGCCGCCTCGAGAACATCGTGAGCGGGCACCGCCGCCTCGAGAACATCGTGAGCGGGCACCGCCGCCTCGAGAACATCGTGAGCGGGCACCGCCGCCTCGAGAACATCGTGAGCGGGCACCGCCGCCTCGAGAACATCGTGAGCGGGCACCGCCGCCTCGAGAACATCGTGAGCGGGCACCGCCGCCTCGAGAACATCGTGAGCGGGCACCGCCGCCTCGAGAACATCGTGAGCGGGCACCGCCGCCTCGAGAACATCGTGAGCGGGCACCGCCGCCTCGAGAACATCGTGAGCGGGCACCGCCGCCTCGAGAACATCGTGAGCGGGCACCGCCGCCTCGAGAACATCGTGAGCGGGCACCGCCGCCTCGAGAACATCGTGAGCGGGCACCGCCGCCTCGAGAACATCGTGAGCGGGCACCGCCGCCTCGAGAACATCGTGAGCGGGCACCGCCGCCTCGAGAACATCGTGAGCGGGCACCGCCGCCTCGAGAACATCGTGAGCGGGCACCGCCGCCTCGAGAACATCGTGAGCGGGCACCGCCGCCTCGAGAACATCGTGAGCGGGCACCGCCGCCTCGAGAACATCGTGAGCGGGCACCGCCGCCTCGAGAACATCGTGAGCGGGCACCGCCGCCTCGAGAACATCGTGAGCGGGCACCGCCGCCTCGAGAACATCGTGAGCGGGCACCGCCGCCTCGAGAACATCGTGAGCGGGCACCGCCGCCTCGAGAACATCGTGAGCGGGCACCGCCGCCTCGAGAACATCGTGAGCGGGCACCGCCGCCTCGAGAACATCGTGAGCGGGCACCGCCGCCTCGAGAACATCGTGAGCGGGCACCGCCGCCTCGAGAACATCGTGAGCGGGCACCGCCGCCTCGAGAACATCGTGAGCGGGCACCGCCGCCTCGAGAACATCGTGAGCGGGCACCGCCGCCTCGAGAACATCGTGAGCGGGCACCGCCGCCTCGAGAACATCGTGAGCGGGCACCGCCGCCTCGAGAACATCGTGAGCGGGCACCGCCGCCTCGAGAACATCGTGAGCGGGCACCGCCGCCTCGAGAACATCGTGAGCGGGCACCGCCGCCTCGAGAACATCGTGAGCGGGCACCGCCGCCTCGAGAACATCGTGAGCGGGCACCGCCGCCTCGAGAACATCGTGAGCGGGCACCGCCG